ATTTATTTATTTTTTTCATAAGCGGCCTCTAATCAGCGTATTACCGAAAATGAAGAGTGTAGTGCTAGGGGACACCTTCCTCGTGCGGCTTTAATTAAACAAAAAATCAGCTTTGTCTTGATTAGGCTTTTGTTAGGGATCCCTTATTAGTATTTAGCTGACGATGATCCATCTTATAGATGAATTCAATTTGAATTCGAGTGATCAGTTAATTTTTCACAGTCAAAGTATTCAAATAAACGCAAAAGCTAATTAAAAACGAAATCATAAATTTTAACGAAACGATTTAATTGAAACAAGCACTATTGAGTGCAAACAGTTGTGTTAGCCATAAAAAATGGTAGGTAAATCCACGCTAAGGATGATTGTAAGGGGCTACAAGTATTTATCTTATTTAAGATCTTGTACAATAATTTATCGACACATTTGACCCTGTGGTACGGTTAGCTAGCGACATCAACAGTAATAATTGTCTCTCCCTTATTACGAGATGGGTTTGAAAGAAAGACGTTTTATTAAAGTCGAATTTGTTTAGTGGGCAAATTTAGAAGAAGCTTTGATAACTGCGCTCCGACGGTACTGCTACCATACAGCCGCAAATCACTTAAAATTTTCATGATAATTAGTTGTCACTCAATCGTAGCAGCTCAACAAATCTTCAGTAAAGTGCTACACAAACATCACCGTTTTAATAATTTTGCCAAAATCATAATCATTTTTTTGAAGCCTAGCGCACGCGTCACAAAGACACCTGCGTTATCTGGGCGTCATCTAAACATTTCTATGAATGGCTAAAACAGTAAACAGCGTTATGTGAGCAAAAAATTCTATTAACGTATTGGAGTAGTAAGACAGCCCTAATTCTAATAATCACTGCTTGTTGAAACAAGTTCAGTTTCTTTTCTACTTTATTCTATAATTCATAGGGTTCAATTGGCAATGCGTTAGTCATAGTATATCTTGACGCGCACTATCTCTGTAGCACCGCCAAACGGCTATAAAAGTAAATCCGTTCTCGAGGCGCGGTGAAAATAGAAAGAAAGTCAAGAAAATAATAGCGAGTAATTGTCATATCTATGCAATATAGAGAGAGGTATATATATATATATATATATATATATATATATATATATATATATATATATATATATATATCCCTGTAAATACCGTTAGCTTATAACAGTATTTACCAGGTAAACGTTCAAATTCGAGTAAACTATAGCCGACTCTTTGCCGTAATAGGCACCTATTGGTTCACTATCCTTATTACCAAAAAAAGCTCTTTCCCGAACGAAGCAGCAAACACATCAATGCAAACAACAGTGCGACATTTTCGGATTTTGAGTGAAGGTCAACTATTTTTCACTATCCTCACGCAAGACAAACCTCTATCAGAATGATATTATTAAATTTTGGTCGAAATTGACGATCTACGTTGCTGCCGGTTTACACGCAGCTTCTAGAAAATTCGAAAAAGATTTTCAGGAGGCAAACCGATTAGAGTTCAGATCTAAAGGGCTTGAAAATTAATCTAATTGGCCTAGAAAGCTATTTTCGACGTAAATGGATCTTTCAAATAGAAGTTATCGGCTATCTCTAAAACTGCAACTGCCGATTGCAACATTCAGAAAAAATATGACAGTCAGCATCTTTTTGCACCTTGTACTTACTGACCGTAGTTTTTGGTATGTAGCGTATTTGTTAGATATTCTGATAAATTTATGCCTACTGACATCGCTGGAGACACAGCTACTATCAAATAATTTGTGGATTAAAGAAATGTTTCGAAAATGACTAGGTTTCAAATTGAAGATGTAATTGTGATGAATTGTCAGCGGTGATAAAAAGTAGTGTTTGTACGCTAACAGAGACCAAAGATCAAGATCGGCGGCTCTAGGAGAGACGTGAGGCCACGAGCCCCACCAGATCTTCATCTAAAAAAGATAATGCTTTTCCTTTAGTGGGACTGCGAGGGCCTGATTCATTGATAATAATTCGGCGCGCCTAAACTGGCTAGTTCCATCGAGTTAGCCAGGCTAAAAAAGAAAAGAAAGCCGACAAACGAGACCAGATCATCCCATTCCAAAATAACATGAGGCTACAAATGTCAAGCATTGTCAAAACTGTTCTCTTTCAATCTTCTGGACTACAAGTGGAAGGTTTCGTTAGACACTCCACGTTCTCTAGAACCTGTGCCAACGGATTTTTACTAAACAATCACTTTCGTGGCTTTGTCTTGGACACGTCAACTCGAAACGTGGCTCTTTAACTCGAAACTTTTTTGAGACGAAGCCCGCTATATTGTGACCACACGGCATGTGTCATTTGCTGGAAATATGCCAGAAAATCATCGACAATGACGAGAGATACGAAGCATGACCGCATTGTTACAGGGCACTTATTAAAGGGAATAAAAAATGCGGCATTTCTATTTAGTAAAAAAGTGTAACAACTTTCTTTTCAACCTGAAAAGATAAGAAAGACATTTTACAGCAGCCTAACAACAGGCTGCTGTAAAATGCTTTTTTAATGAGTTAAAGTTACTTTCCTGGCATTATCTTTTATATTTTACCTATTTGTCCCAATGCTTCGGCAACATCTGTACGGCCGTATACTTACCGATAACTTCTCGAAATAAATCGACAGTGAAATATGTTTGCCATCAGTTACTTTTTCTAGAGTATGGGAAGTCCCGTAATTACACGGACTTGAGTCTGGAGAATGAGTGGGTTGGAATAAACGTTAGATATTTTCCTAATCAGCGCTATTTAAGATATGGCGATGGCATCGTTAGTGAACTGGATGTAATATTTACTACCATCCACATTTCTTTTCGCTAGCGACGCGTAATTTAGAAGCTATTCAGTTTCAAAGGCGCCGAATTTGCTTGCAACAGCCACGTACATACATATGTTTATATATTTGGATACTAGCTTACTCGAAAATTTCAGTTTATCTTGAGAGGAGGTAGGTCTGATGGAATCTATAACGGAGATACCGGACGTTAAAATCGAAACAAAGAGCTGTGGCGTGGAAAAATTATATGGCGGCCGTTTCAGGGCAAGTCTGCCAGCATCATAGAATGTCATTTAAAGAGCACTGTTTTAGATGGAAATCCCTATTCAAAATGTTTACTAGCACATGGTTTGAAGTCCAGCTAAGCCGGCAGGTCTCGTAACATCAAGTGTCAAATGCTCTCACTCATTTCGCCTGAAAGTGGCCTTTTTGGGGCCACAATCTTCTCAAAAAGTACCCACCGTACAGCTTGCGCTAGAGCTTTACACGATGGCTATTCCCATGCCTGACCAATACGTATCTATTGTTTTCGTTTGAAGTTACTTATGCGGAAAGAAAAATCGTTAATATTGATACTATTAATAGGTCATAGTAGCCTATATTGTTACACAATAGTTCATTAATTTCTATTTTTATTATTAATCCATCTTTCTTAGGCCATTATTCGAATGCCATTTAATCAGTCTCTTATTGTGAACAGTTGGAAAAAAATTATGTTTAATTTAATAGTGTTTAGAACAGTAATACTAGCACTGATTTTCTTATATATACATATATATAAATAGTTCACGATACTATTGCTCCCTGAGAAAATATAGAAAGCGGTGTTGAATAGCCGTAGCGAAAGTGTTTTAACGTGAAATTCTTATGCTGACATGGAGCTGGGATGATTTAGGGACCAATACATGCATATGCTCTCAAAAGCATACGGAAGACACAGGAAGAGTCTGAAAGAAATCCCTAAAAGTGCTGACAGAAAATAATCTACTTATTGGAAAACGAAAGTCACAACCGAAGCTCAACCGCAATCTAGCAGACTCGATGGAAAAATAAAAGGTGGACAGAGGACGTTGAGCAGATTAATCACTAATAAAATAATTAAAAAAAAAAAACGCCCAAAACGAATTATAACAAAAGTGCTGAATAAAAATAATGTGATTGATTCAAAAGTGTGATAAATTAGTATAGTTGCACGTAGGATATTTAGCAGAGTATTGTGTGCTGTTTCAGCGATACCGAGATGAAAGGTTATATGGGCAAAAAAAAATCACACAATTCACTTATATCAGGTTAAATATATATGTATTTGTTGAAACGCAGTAGAACCAGTGGTAGAACTTAATAGGGTCCTAGATATTTCCATCTTCTATTGCTATAGAAGAGGGAGGTGTAACTCAAATAAATTGAATTTGTGCTGTGAAATTGGTGAAAACAAGACGAGAACGAATATAGGTAGTCGCTGAAGAGCCCTCGCTTGCCTATGAATTTCTACCACGCACAGCCTACGAAAACCACTTGTTTCATACACAGAAAATTTGCTTACTGATCTAGTTTACGAAACCGTTAGGCTGAACAGCTTCGCCTTTTGTAGTAATCTTTCTGAGTTTAAAAAAATGCATTGCCCAAACTTCTAAACAGGTATACACATTAGTAACAGTGACTGTTTGGCTACTTTGCGCTCGATCGGAATCAAGATACATAATCAAAGAGCCAGAATTCAGGCATAACACTTCTATTTGGAGGAGTTTAGTTTTTAGGCTTGTCTAGTCGTGCTAGCAATGCTTAACTATTATACCAAATAATACCATTAATAAGGTTAACTTAAATTTGCGTAGTTCCATTTTCCTACAGTCGTTTTTCACGCATTTCTATGACAGAAAATATATTTACACCCTTTTCAAAATTGGCTGTCGAAGACAACCCAAATAGCTGTCCAAAAAAGCCCAAAAAGTCAGAAATGGTAATTATTTCATGCGCAAGTAATACTTAATTTTCATTACAGCACTCTAAGGACACGGTCAAATCATCACTATCTTAATAAAAGTCAAGTACGAAAAACCTACGATTAAGTAAAACATGACGATATACTTGTGGATGAAATCGGGAGCTTTAATGCACATATTATATAAATAGTGTATACACATTTATATAAACAAAATTTAGCGTTCAAATCAGTGTTAGAATAATATGTAAATATGGAGCTAATTTGTTTGTTAATGGGGTGTACGCATTGTTGCTTGCTTCTATGAAGAGACGGGGCTGTTCTTGGGTGATTGACGTCGCTTGCGAGGCCGTTCTAGAATAGACGATGCAATATCATATCAAAATAAGTATAGCATGTTTTCTTTTGTAAGGTCCATCGTACCGTTTATCCAGCTTCTTTATCCAACAGCTGGTTATCCAATAGCACGCTTCTACTTAAAAGCGATCCTAAAATAAACCAACTATAATTATGCTATAATTTTATGAATTATATAAAGTCAGCGTCACATGGGTCGTTGTTAACAGCAACATACATTATTATTCCTTACCATCGTAATCGAGGACAAAATTAATTTTCCCGGTGCAAGAACTCGCCTCGCAGTTTTCACGGACACCCATAATGGCCAGAAGGATACTTTCGCATTGTCCATCTGAAATAGTTTGCAGCTAAGTTATTTATAAATCTTCGGCCGTTCTATGCATAACGAAAAATACGTGAGTATGGGGTGATTCGCAGATTTAAAACAAGGCTATTTTGTACGAAAAACATAATTTTAAATCTCCATTGTACTTCTTTTTGGTACATCCACAAAGCGAAAGAGGTTTCACTCAACAACTGTTGTTTGCTCCGCATTATCACCGACCTAATTTCTTGCACACTAGTAATTTATTTGTGTACCACATAAGGCCCCTGGCGAATACAGTGATATACCTAAGACAGCAGTTTTTTTAACGGCAGTGTTAGTAAATAATGATTCATGTGACCCTTCCTCTCCTACATGTACGCAAACCAATAACGGACCCGCATTCTGTAGGCCAAAGGTCTAACAGACATGCGTGGGTCAAAGTGTATAGCTAATATTTCTAGTTTCAGTTTAACCTACTACTTAACCGTTGTACGAACCTTTTTGGCAGTCTGGTCGAAATGAGAGAACTGAAAATGGCAATACGAGATTCAAAACGTATAATCGACAATTGTGGTCAATATTATTATATTTACAAACAGTACATTTGACCAAACAATCAAATATTGATAAAAAAAAAATAGACATGTTAAAACAAGTAACTAAGAAATCTAAATGATTTAAATACATACTTATAAACAGGTAATTACAGGTCAAAATATATTTTAGACTGTAACATTAATCTACAGTTGATTTAAAATCAAGCAGAGTCAAAGTCACAAACAGAGTAGAGTTGTTCTGTTTAGAGCTTTTACGCCTATTGATAGTTAATTATAGCTGATGTAGGTTGAAGGCGCGTTTCAGAAAATGCGAAGTAAAATTAAGTAACGCTTTCGAACTCTTACATGCTGCCCTTTCTCCAGAGGAAGGTTTATCGAAAAAGTTCCAGCGGGTTACACTACTATTCATCGAAGTAAAAAAAAACCTTGGCGCCGTCAAGGTTTAGCCCGGTATGCATAACGTATTTTCTCAGCAAAAGTAAAGGGAACCAATTGAAGTAGCCTTGGCCTAAGCTTTTCTTCAAGATACTGCACGACTATTATTCAAATTAGACTCTTAACTGCACGCCTGAGGTGATTTTTTTTCACTGATGCCGGTTATCAAATTAGTTGCATGAATATAGAAAAAGTAGGACAACGTTTTAATTTGTTTTTGTATGAGCTTAAGAATAATCCTTACGCGGAGTACATCGCACTTCGATGATACCTAACTTAAAAACTGTCGTCACACTTTTACAGGTGCTCTAATATCCTTGCCATGGGACGACCATAGTTCCAGATTTTAATAAATTTGGGCATATAACGAATGGTGGCATTAGGCGGACTCTAGCAGTAGATCCCGCAGTTTCTGGTATACAATATAAACAGCAAAATGACGTAAACGCCGTAAGGGTTGCGTATCATTTGAGGTCGGTAACGACATGTCAGTTCGTGCTCAACTGCCCTCTGCAATGGTTTCGTATAATTTCTGTTGTGCGCCTTATTAGCATAGACAAATTCAAATTAAATGTGCAGTTATTATACATATAACACTAGTATACATATTAGTGTTCTGTGCCACATTTATTTTTCTGTATACAAATGCATTTTTCTGTACACATTGTAAACTCTCCAAAACAACTTACAACATTAGTGATGCCCTTGTACATTAAAATTACGGAAAAGTGGTATGGCATGAAAAATGACAAATATTAATTAACTCAGATATAATAAAAAAAAATCGGTAATTTTTTTTGTTATTCTATAAAATTTCTAATTCTTCAATCAAGATTGCATTCAGATAAAATTAATACCATTTTCTCTTGGCACCTAACTGCAGCGATCCCCGCGGGCTGTAGCCCCGGTATCAACAATCAGTATTTTAAATTTGGTGATCCTTTTAAACGTAATTTTTAAAATGCAAACGTTACGCTTATAGGAAACCATTAACGCTTAGAAAATAGAAAATCAATATAATTAAAAAAATAAACATAGTATATTTTGTATGCGCGCCCTCTACAACTAGATCCGCAATACATGGGACCACCTTGATTCTTCTTTGTTGAGCATTTTAATGACGAACCTATTTATCTAGTATAGATCGAATCACTACAAATTAGCTAGAGTACAATGAGCGTACCGTTGTCCGCTAGTTGCGTACAGCGTCTCCATCCGTCAATCGATGGAACATCGTTCTTGTCATAGCAGACCTGCGGATGGCAGTCGCACCACAGTTATTAATTACCAAGGTATCTACGACTCAGACCTAGTTTTGTATTTGTTAATAATGCTCGATAAAAACATATTGAATTTCATCTTCAACAAGTTTGCGACGTGATTAATATATGAAGCATAATTGTAAAATAATAGGCAAAATACTTTTAATAATAAAATTACTTCCATCAAATGTACAGTTCTTTGTTATTACGGTAGAGCCTTATTCAATTCATGTAAAGATATGTTAACTAAGATCGAAGGTAAGTTAGGATCGAAGAGACAAGATCGAAATTGACTTGCTTCGCTGCTGTATAATAGGGTAATGTAGGAGTTCAGAAGAACTTCATAATTAACGCACGCTTTTTTTACTTTTTATTCGGCAGCAATTATCAGCAGAAGTACAGAAACGCACTTTAGTGCAATCAAAAAAAGCTTTGTATAACTCCCGCTACGGCGTACTATGCACCCACCTTGATAATTCCATTAGTTGGAGTTACGGTAAGCTGGGCTCTCACCATGCTAGGAAACTCTTCAGTGCCGAAACGAACAACTTTGACAGCGTTCTCGGATATGACTTCGTCGAAACGAAGGTGAACCGGTATGGTCGATTCCAAGCAAGCAGGTCCACATAACGCAATCAATGGCGCTAAGAGAGACATCGAGATAAGATGAACGCCTGTCAATGTTATCTACTTTATGCCACCACTTACTTTAATACCGTCCGTCCGAAAACCCACATTTTATAGTGCAACTTAATTTAGAACTCACCGAGGAAACTTTCTCTTGCTAGGTCTCTAGCGCGATTTCTTATCGCTAGTTGCCCTTTATTTGTAGCATTGTTCCAAAACTTCACAGAAAAGAGTTCCTCGCCAAAATAAGAACTTAGGGACGTCGTCACGGCGAAGAATGACACTGTCTCTGAAATGGTTATCTCATTTTGTCACTGTACTTTTAGAACATTGGACATCTTTGTTAGAATGAACTACACATTTTGAGAAATAGACTTGCGTTTAGAAAAACCAGCAAAATAGTTTTGTTTTTAATAATGAACAGCAATTTTCAATTTTAGTGAGAAAATTGAAAAACTGCCGGACGCTTTCGTAGGGTTTCATCGCAAAAATACTAGATCGGATGGTACACCGAATGCAAGTAAACCATGATCTGGGTGGAGAACGATATTGATTTTTTAATAATATTATGGAACTCTAACAAATCGTTTCTTTACTCCAATGCAGGCTTTCAAGTGTGATTATTCTTGTGTAGATAGTGAAATATTACATAATATATAACGAACAAGAATACATGTAGAATAGCTTCGTTACCCTTGAAGTTTTGTTTTAGACGCTCGACAGCTGTCTTGATTACGCCCTTTGGACTTCTTTGTTCGCTTCCATGAGCCAGCCACACAACAATTCTGGCAGGCCGTAGGTTGCCATGGCCTTCGCGTGTTTCCAATAGTGCTCCAATTTCAGTTTCGTTAGAGAGGTGCAGCTGAAGAGCATCCAGTACAGTCGCTTCATCTTGAGGCGAATAACTCTTCATACGGTCGCTATTACCCAGAATCTCCTGAGCTTTACAGGCGATGCTCGATGCTGCAGCGCCTGCGTGTTTTGTTGGCACGCCTAGTAGCTGCCCATGCACGATACTTTGTTGGTTCATAAATAGATGCAAACGTCGACGAGTTCCAAGGTTCATATGGCGGGCGAGGAAGCTCACGAACGCTTTCTGGTGGGCCCAATGCAGCTGCATCTCTTCCACAGGCATGAACCGCTCATCGTCCGTCTTTAGGACCACATAAATTTCTGTGGCAGTCTCAATTGTAGCTATGTTCAAGAAAAAAACAAAGATAATTTAGCAATTACCATACGAAGTCAAGAAAGTGGTGAAAAAGAGCATATAAATAGGGGTCATCAGTCTAGTTTACCGACAGCGAACTCTGGCTAACATTACCCAACTTAATGTATAAAATGCGTATACTTTTTATTCACTTAGATATTCGGTTACTTACGATTAGCTATGGAAAGTGCAGGACCATCATCACAGAAGCTGGGCATGCTAAGAAGTTTATACTGGGTAGCTCTTGTGATCTTCTTAATGACCCTTGTTGCTGCGTCCATGACAATCGCTTCACTAACCCTGTTAACGAGGCCTGGATAAGCGTAGGCAAACGCACGATAAAAATTGAGAAATTCCCTCTCCAAATTACCAGTTATGACGTCTGCCGGAAATAGATCGTATCTTCGACACACTCCCAATTGGACCGAGTTTCCATTATCGTATGTGAGGTCGGGTTTAGTGCGCATCGAGCGATCGACACCTCGGTTGCTGTAGTATCCATCAAGGAGAGAACAAAGGCTAACTGCCGACGTCAAATTGCCATGCAGGCCGAGGATATAGCCTAGAAGAAAACAAGAGGGATCAGCATGATTGATAATAGTCAAAAACCAGTGATAACAGGTCGCATTGAAAGCTGCGTACTTCATAAGCTGCTTGAGTTGTACGGAGAACCCACCATCAATGGCACCACGAATCCTGGTGTACGTAATCCAAGAGTCAACATCATCCCTTTCAGGCCGCCTTACAAAGTTATTTTGGCAGAATTGTTCATGCCAATAGCTGTCTGAATCTACCAAATCAGAGCGCGCGTCACGTATAATCTCGGGAAGTAATATGCCTATGGTCAAAAACAGTGCATACAAACTGGAAGTCGTCTTTACCCATATTATAATAAGATGAAAAATTATGACAGCGGCATGACATCGTTGACATAATAGCATCTACTTAACTGTAGTTCATGTAAATATACAGAATGCTATATACGTAATAATAATATGGCTTCTACCCTGCTAGCTGATTGATTCATTGTGTCGCACTGCCTGGAACAATACCTATAGATCCTTGTTTTATGAAATCTATAGACGCAGCTCTTATCCATTCGTCGCATAAAATTTTGTATATATATACATGAGACCGGTATGTTTTGTTAGTTGGATAGTATAAACTGAGTACTATTGTTATATTATTCCACGGTATTGTGCAATAACGACTCGCAAATTAATAGCGGTATTCCATGAATATCTTGAGGTTACCTCCAAAAGTTAGTGCACTAAGTATAGTTATTCTCGACTGCGCGTCGTGTTGCACTTCAATGGCATGATTGAGACTTCGAGTTATCTGGTTGATACTCCGGGAAGATTCACCCACCAGCGAAGGAGAACCCAGTATACCTAGTAGCACTGGCTTCAACGCTATCGCTATGTCCTGAAATTTACCATCCATCATACAGAAGAACAAAGAAGAGATAATCAGAAAGGTACTATATAAATAATAAATGGAAATACCTGTAATAGCTGGCTAAGAAAAAAATAATTGAAGATATATTTGGGCCGTTACTTATATAAAAAGCTCTTTGAGCATCGATATTCCCACTTTTCGGACGTTACACATACACACCTCATCAAAGTCTAGCGCAACAACACCGCGTTCAAGCTCTGCTTCTTTCGAGTAAGAGAGAAGATGGTAAAGATGGCACCGTTCACTAGCTAAAAGGACACTGTCGTCCACGTCTGTTGTCCCGTCATTTCCATCGGTCTGCTTTGACGATGTGCTGGACCCAAGCAGAGCACGTTGCACGGAACGCAAAACATCATTTTCCACCAGCGACGAGTTCGCTCTCAACGGACTATCCAACGAATATTTGTCCAACAAGAACTGGCACATCTACGCAGGAAAACATAAGGCCGTCTAGATGTATTTGTTAATAATATTGGCATCAGAAAAAATTCTTACGTTTAGAAAAATGGATTCAAGCTTGAACACATTTCACGTTATTTATGTTTGGAATTATCTCATATTTCTCTGTGGCACATATTTTTAATTAGATATTTTGAGTAGGATTAAATATGATGTGTTATCCGTTTGTTTTTTGTCATCGTGCAGTCTAGTGACCTTCCAGTATACTTGCCTCTTTAATGGTTACGGATGGATTGCCTTCCTCAAGTTTTTTTAGAATCAGTAAAAATTGATCGATTGTGAAAAGGAAGCTTTCCTGTTTTGATGACGAACAGACCTGTGCCATCTCATGGGGCCGCAATGGCTTGTCCACAAACTGATACAGTTCAAAAAAATTCAACGGCCGCTCGATTGACTTATTAATGGGCGGCAATGGACGTTGTGACCGATCACTGGGGTAGTCTGTTGGTCTTTCCCTCGCCGAAAATTTCGTTCTATTAGTATCATCGTTATCGATTTGCTGCTTTCCATTGACCAAGTCTGTCTCAGCGGTTTCGTGTAAATCCGGCAGCCTTTCAGAGTATCGAAACGGACTTTCAGGTTGTCTGACAGGACGTTCTGACTGTTTAAATTGATTTCTAGAAATTCGCAGAGAATGTCCAGGTGTATTCACCTCGCGTAGTCCATCGGGTCTCTTTGAAGTAGGGTCAAGCCGTCCGTACGATGAGTCTGGCTTTAATTGAAGTTGTTTGTTAAGTTGAAGCAGATTATGTATTTTCTGAGGCCTATTCAAGAAATCTCTTGTGTCATCGGGTTGATCATTAGGTGGATCTATAATTTGTTGGCCTAAAGAATGTAATTGCAGTTTTCTTTCCGGGACCTCTTTTGGATTACCCCGTGAATGATCGACAACTGGATTCCTCGAGGGCTCGTCATGCGGTCTGACTGGTCTCGGATTGGGCCCTTCAGTCTCTGTTCTGATATCCTCAGAAGGTTTAGAAAGTTCACGATTTTCAGAAGTCTCCTGAGAATCTCGCTCGATTGAATTCGGTCGACCCAAAACACTAGATAGCCGTGGTGATTTCTGACCTCTTCTGTCGTCAATGGGCGGATATCGAAACATGTTTAACTGATTTGATGTTTGTAACAGGTCATCTTCAAATTCCGCTAAAAGAGAGAAAATGGGTTTGTTAGTGAAGGAATAGGAAATACTAACAGTAAGATTGATATTATTTAACATTTTAGTATCTTTAGAACTAGATAGGTTCTAATGGTTTGTTGAAAAAAATGATTCATTTAATAGCTATGCAGGTAATGACGGATACGTACCAAAGTATGCGATTTCCACCCGCGTTTCGTCAGGAAATCTACAATCCGGATGGTTGCATTCCTTGAAAGGAACGCCCGGCCGCCGTGGAAGTGCTGTGATCTTAAAATGGACCATTTCGCATCTGGCAGATTGGACATGGCCTGGCACACTAATATGGGCACTTTCTGTCGCTTCCTGTGATTGGCATAAGTCAACAAAGCTCTTTACAAGGGGAACGTTGGCCTGGGCATCCTCACACTGATCCTCTTCTATCGGGACCCGCTGATGTGTGGCATTTTGCCTTTCGTAACAGACTCTCAGGGGAAGATTTTCCGAAGTGATTGTGATGTTGACTAATATGGGATAGCGGTTCAACTCATCAGGGTAAACTGCCCACGAATACGAAGCTTGTGGTGATAAGAACACTTGGTGAATACTCGACACTTGGAGATGATCCGTCAAACAATTTGTACAGTGTACAATTGCTGGAGCTTGTGTAAAGAGTAAAAACAAAAAGAGTAATAACTTATAAATAAGTGAAAGTCGGCAAAACGGTAATTGCTCTGTATTTTTCCACATAACGTGTAGTGCATCAATATCACACCAATATATTATTATGACGTATGAATATATTGACTCACTTTGGCATATCTCATGCGCTAATTCTGTAGAAATTCTCTGTATAACTTTGTCATCGGCCGCCTGCGGAATGATTACTACAGCGTCCTTGACGTCGGCTCGAAATTTCTCAACGATCTCAGGTTTGGGGCCAACTACAAATATATACAGGTCCTTGTGGGATCTCCGTAGTCCTCTGATTACATCCTGAAGGTCTTCTTCCTTACTTTTAAAATCGTTGAATTTAAAATACACAACAACCTTTGACGGTGTAACGGTACCAGCTGCCATTTCAACGTCATCTTCAAGAAGGCTGTTCCAGGTTCCGTTCACAGCACGCCATATATCAGCTTCGTGGCACTCAGCACAGCCTTTATCAGCTCTCCTGTACAAAAGTCTTCCGTTGGTTGCGAGTATTAGCATTGATGGCTAAATAGGCGCAAGTTAAATCAAGCAGTATGCCTGTGTATACTGTAAGTGCTGCTAGGACAAAGCTAATGTAAATTACGGGCATCGTATTAATATGTTTATGATTTAAAGTAACAACGCAATTAGGACCAATGAAAATATACTAGAACAAGATGCGCTAAACGACTTTCTTCTATAGTTACAAAATAAATTCTACGTTTATAAAACGTATGGGTTTGGAGACTGGCCTGGGCGAATCCGCATACTTCAAAAACCGCTTACGATAAAAGCTAAATGCTGCTAGATGAAAAATTGATAATGAAATACCATGAGTGCAGGTTACGCTATATAATCTTATCGTAGATAAGCTGCTACCGCGTCACATCCAGATGGTACGATAGTGGATAATTCTGTATATGAGTACAGAATGAGTCCCCTGAACTTAGTATTTACTAGCTGCGCCAAACGCCATTAACGTACCGACTAACGCGACACGATGGGTTCTTTTGTTTCCTACTAGAGCTGAAGAACAAATTAAGGACATGCGGATTATCAGCTAACGAAGAGCTTGATATAGAAACGCGAGAGTTTGAGTTATTTTCGAGAATCTCTTCAGACAGGTATGCCGAGAGTTTGCGTTGATACACATCAAATTGGGGATGTCCAGATATAGGATCGAGCAAAAGGAGCACATTGGATAATGTTTGACAACTTCCTTTGTGCAGCTGGCGCTGTGCTTCCTGACATGTCGATGGAGGATCTATTGAAATGCAACAAAAAACAAAAACATTCGTTAAAGCTCTAACGTTTGACTGAAACAGAACTGCTATACATATTCGATAGGGGGTAAAAACTTGAGAGGCATGGCGCAATGCATGTATTTTGTAAAGTACCATTCCAGATTGCACTATGGCAATATAAGATCGTGTAATAAATTATGGCCTGCCACAACCCACTTCATCTTAAAGGACTGCTTACTAATACGACACATAAGTCAAAGTTTTTAGACCGTATTGTACAAGGATAACAAATACTGTGTATCAGTTTTTTCTACCTATGAAGTTCAATATTTTGATTAAAATTAATTAAAGTGAATCAAATAAAATGAGCATTTATCATATTTGTTTCCAGAGTAATGCAATATGTCGTTTAGGTAACAGGCTTTCACTATATTTACGTCTTTCTTATTGATCATTAAAGCTTTCGTTACCTATCGCTTTCGCTGTGATCAATAGCTCTTCTGCCCCTCAGACCGTACACTACAATCTATATCAATCCAATCCGTATTTTTATTAAATTATGCGAGGGAAAGATCTTTCAGCGGCAGATACACTAGGTATGTATAAACATGACAAGTTATTCTCATTCCATAAGGATGCTGGAAATACGTACGGGTAATGATATGTTCGAGTTCTTGGCTGAATTTCTTGACAGCTGGAACGATGGCGTAGTTTTCAATTACCTCTTTTAACGGAAGAGCCTCGACAGCGTTAAACAGACGTGCTATAGCCAAAGTCTGTTCGGTTAACCGCTCTACCGAGAACAACTTTTGAAAGATCTGATGACAGCGTAGTCCCGTTAGAACATGCAAGCACAAACTTACCCTAAATATTTAGAAATGGTGTACATGCGTGTCTTGCTATGAAAAGTAATTATTTTCTGTACGACTAGAAGTTCGCTTTCGACGCGTTCACAGTTACCATGCGCATCTTATACACGAGTGAAGAGTCAGAGCGATAAACACTGAGCGCTATTTAGGGTTCTTTGGGTACTAAACTGGTCAAGCGACCAAAGCATACGCCTTTGGATACTTTCTTCTACACGTCACCAAAGATAAACAAATACTGAAATTGCACATGTATTATATTAATACAATGAATCCAATCATATAAATATTAGTTCAAACCTTTCCCCTTGTGCAAAACGAAGCGCCGCCGGGAAACTCGGGTATCAGCTCCCGAATACCCCTAGCAGAATAATACGTTGAGAGTAGTTGACTAAGAGTGAATGGTCGCTTCCGTTGTTTAGTTATTCGGGAAGTTAGAACATTGAAAAGAAAACCGTCAATAGCTCCGGACAGCTGAGCGTCTGTTATATCGGACACCTGATGAAAAATACGCTCAGGAAATCCCAGCATAAATAAGCGTTATGTTTTTTGTAATCCGAAAAGCAATCCTAGTTGTATGAGCAGCAATACGATTCCGATGCGGTATGATACCTATTCCCTTAACTGGTGATTGCGCAAGAGCTTTTGCTACGAACAAAGTAATGTTGAGCTATTATGTAAAAGCTAAGTTGTGCTCTTTCTTGAGTCTGAAGAGTTAGAATGTTCGCTTTCGACAACCCTTTAATTTTTACAATATCTCTTGTATCATCTTATTAAGCAGTCATTTTTAGCTGGACATTTTAGCAAGGGCATTACGTTCGCTCTGCTAAAAGTAGTATAGTATTTTTTTTTATATGAAAACTAATCATTGCCTTCATTTGTATTTATTGTCAGTAAATCCGTAACTTAGGCGACTGCATTTGATGAACAAATTGCTACCTTTGGCGACAGCTTGAATTCTTTCGGACAGAGCGGTGTTGTCCAAACTCCGTTTCTACCAATTATAGGTGAAGCTGTTGTGTTCTTCCATTTAACTGAGGTGCCCAAAAGAGATGCGAGCGTAGGCCCATAAAGATGGTCGATAACGCTGTGCCCTTCTGACACTGTAACCAAAAAAAGCGTTAGCCTTACGAAAACAATGTTAGGCCAAAAAATCTTATATTACAAGGCAATTAAGTTTTCTTCTCTCAGTTTAACTTTTCAGATACATATTTTTACCCTACAAGTTAGTGTAGTCTGCCTTCTCAGGGACAATTTGTGCCTTGTAAGGGCACAAAGCAATATTCACATTTTACTTTCGGTGGTATTAGCAGAATTGGACATCTTATGTGGCAAGCCAAACGAAATAGACTTGACAACGTTCTTCGGAAACTTAGACCTGTCGAATTAATCTACAAAGTTGAATAGCTTCAAAGTTACTCAAGATCACCGACGTCGGATAACAGAGCCAAAACAAAACGTTGCGGTACCATTTGAAAGTGTTCAAATTATGAATTTTACCCATCTAATAAACAAGGAGAACAAGAGGTCGCTGTCAGACTCACCGACATTACTGTATGGACGAAGTAATCTAAGTAAACTCTCTGTCGACTCCCTGGAAGCGTATTTAGATGCAGCAATCCCGAAAAGTACTGGGGATAATGCCAAACCATGGTTTCCTTCTGGATGGACGACTGGTGACACCACCCCATGCTCAATATATCTGAAGTTCACATACCAATACCAGAAATATGCAATATGTACGCTTTTGAAAAGCATCACTATTATTAGGACTCGTTTAATTATATTAAATAGTTTGACTTTATTGCCTTGAAGAGCCATTTGTGTGGAATTAACAATAGCTATCTGAAGCAAAAATCAAACGGTTCAGCTGGTGAAATTAATAGTGGAAGACGAATTGCTAAACGCCCAGCTAAAGTCTACTTTGTTCATTTTATGAAAAGTACTATCGATGCGTGTTCATGTGCGCAAATCAAAGCCAGGCAGATTATAATTTTTAGTAGATTCTAAAGAAATCTTCTATACAAATTTCAGTCAGTTCCAAACTAATGTATATTTTGCAAACGCATTTTACTAGCGCAAACGTTATTTCTGAAGAAAAAACCGATTTCTTTAACTAATTTATAGGCTTAAAAGCCGAATCGACTACACTTACGCAAGTACATTAGCTCCATTATTCCGTTGCTCAATCGAATGAGACAACATAAAGAAGAGCGCACATTTCTCAACCAATATCAAGGAGTCTTCACGAAATAGACGATGTGGGGCGCTTCGTAGAAGCACTTCGGTTACTGACGCACGGGCTTCTTCCGTCTTATCGACAAGGAACATATGACCATTTTCAGTTCTCTTGCGTCGCATGTATGATATTGAGAACCTACAAAAACAACAGATCAATCCGAAATAGTCAAGGTATTTTCCAAGATGCTGCCAGTATTTTTCTAGTTAGGGTTATATATATATATATATATATATATATATATATATATATATATATATATATATATATATAGAGAGAGAGAGAGAGAGAGAGAGAGAGAGAGAGAGTGAGAGATATGACATACGTTGAAGCAACGAATTATGACGCACGAGTAAGTCAGTCGAAAAACCGATTTGCCTACTAATTTTTTGCAGTATTGCGTACAATTAAACATGAATAAAGTTTACTGGCCTCTGTAAACTTAAATTATATTGCAGCTGAATAAATTGTGTGCACAAATGCTTTAGCCTTGGTAGGCTTTTTGTAGAAAGCGAAAAAATGACAAACTTGCGTTTGATTGCTCAGCAATCAGGAATGTACTATAATGAAGCTTAATTAAACAACGACTCAGCGTTAAATAACGAAGGGTTGTCACTACGAGCCATATTTAGCGAGAATAGCAATTAACTTTCTTAAGCAATTTCTCGATTCAGCTCAATGCTTTTAACGAGAATAAAGCTTTATGATTAGGGTATATTATCACGAGAGACTTCTCGAATATCGTAAACAGTTGAGCAAAGTTCATCTAAGTAGTTTAGAGACATGTGCATGTACACTGTTCATTTTAATTTCATGCATATGAATGGTCTTTAAATGCAGTTCAGTTACTTGCATAGGTATGCTCATACTCGTCATATGTTATACTTCATGTACTGCACGTACATATACTACGTGTATTATATTAAATAAATAGAAATACGTGGTATTGAACTAGTCGCTTGTTCGCAGACGGTACGTTCTGACGTACGAATGACAATTCGTGTTTTCGGTAAAGCACAGCCCAAAGTCATAGGTATAAATAAAGAAGAAAGGTAAATAAATAAAAAGGCACCTTCGGAGCAGAAGCGAAGCGGTTTCCGCAGCGTCCTCCAGACGGTGGGCTTTCTCGACTTTACTAACCAACTCTACGAAACTCTTCACCGTTCGAGGTAGATCTTCTAACTCCTCTATCTGACCGACGCGGAAACACTCCGGAGCGACAAGTCTATGGAAGTCCTTGGATGTCAAGAGGGCTTGTGACCACGATACATTGAAAAGGATAAGCGCCAAATGAAGCAACATATTAAGGGTTCTAGGTTGCTAGTATTTTCTTCTTATGTTTGAAATGATCCTGGACTATAGTTGATGTTTTTTGGTTCTATCAACACAATCTACACTTCCATACACAAGCAACACACAAAGCTCTTATAAGGTCTCGGCAATGTTCTATTGGCCTCATATATACTGCAGTCAAAATTTCGTGACAAAATTCGCATAGTATTCCATCTCTACGCACTCAAGCTTATCACTGGTGTTCTTTTAAAATCACATGGCACGAAACTTTTTCCCTAATTACTCTAGTAATATTAAGCAAATCGTTCGCAAAAAAATACTAATCTTCATATAAATCACTGCTTATACAAACTATATGCTCCTAGAGACGTGTACGCTCGTGCTAGGTGCTGCACCTCAACTGTAGGAAGTTACCGGGTTCTAGCCCAATTCAAGCACAACAAAAAGGTGGGGAGGGTGGTCCGGGACTGGGTTATCGTGTCCCAAGGAGGATCACGGTCACTTCGGCGGTTATCGCTGCTACGAATAGTCGGACCACTACTATTAAAAAGGAGCCCGGTTCCTATAGCCAATGACGTCTATATCCAGGAGTTTTGGCCGTGAAGAGTCTGCAGCAACTCAGAATAGGGAGATATGAAGCGCTTCCAGATGACACGAAACTACACTGTACTGCTTTGTTAGCTATTATGACGGCTTGAAAAGATGTGTATCGACGTGGCAACAATCAGTGGCAATTAGTAGAAGGCGATGGGGAAACTGTTCACCGTCTAACCATTCTGATGGAAACAGACCAGTAAAATGCAACAGTTTCAAAAGCGTCAACAATACTGCGTGGGTGTTCCCGCATGGACACTTGTTTCTATCTATTTATTTAATATTTACTAAATAAAAAGTATTTAAACTTTTTTAAATGGGAGGCGAAGATCGCTTCACCCTTAACTAAGGACAACTGGTAAGCTTGCCTTCAAAACCTCAGCGCTTTGTTCATTTATCTGTTAATCAGAGACAGAGGTCTTCTTCAGAATATCTCTTCGGGATTTATTTCTATCTGATGAATAACTAGGACCGCAAAGGAACGAATGAATAAAGATCTACGACCAGTGTTCTAACCGAATCCTAACGGCTAACCGTCAGTCAGGCAGACGTGTGTAGTCATATTCTATATGGATTGTTTGATTTCTGTAACCAAATTCTGTACCGCTACCGACTACCGTCTTCTCGATTTATAAAGGAACAAGCCCTGGCTCTCAGTCAACTATGTGCGGCCATTCGCTCGACCGCCTGCTTCGATGAATACTTTATCCCAGTAGAAGCTGCAGTGCAATGCAGTGAGCGTTCCGGAGTTCCGTTAGCGTCGAAACAACAGAAGCGCATAGTTGTAATGCATGGGGTAACAGCGAAGCCTAAATCATAAGCCACTTGTCAAAGAAGAAAAAAGCTTTATCGGAGAGATACGCTTGCGGTAGCCAATTTTTGGTTCAGGCAGGGGAACATCTTTATATTTTATGGCTCGCATTGCAAACTCATTCGTCATACGCTAGTTGTAGATCTTGAGTTGACTGATGGCCATATAATTCGGTTTTATTCTTCGGGTGATCATTAACATCGGCTATTACTACTGCTGTCTAGTTGCTTCGCATGAGTACATCTAACTTTGAATAGATTCGGAATTGTTTAGTGTTTCAATCTGCGCTTATCCGTCGCTCATCTCTTCAGGACACGTGTCATGTAGTCACCGATACTTTCGGATTCTTTTCTGTATGTAGGCATGCGTCTGTTCTAATCAGTGGTGCATTGAATTCCAATCACAGAATTGGTAATTTATATGATAAAGTAAACCGTGTATATTTTCTTTAGTGATAAAGCTATTATAGTCTTCGTGCAGAGCTCGAGCGTTTTAGTGTCTCTGTAATTAGTCTAAGACAACAAAAAACACTTTCAAGGGAACTAGGATAATTGGGGATCACTTACCGCCCAATCTGGGTCACGTTCGTTATAAAGCCGGTACTGAGCCAATATATACAAATAATAATAAATCGTGATTTATTACATTTCCTAGTGCACATGTGTTCGGAAGTATATGTTACACGCTTCGAACGAGCCAATTATTCGTCAACAACTATAGTATTTTGCCAGAACGTAGTTAAATGAAGCAAATTTTTTTAACAACCTAAGTCACAATGCTTACAACAGTTTTATTTATATGTGGGATCTATGTGCAGCGTCCTGTAATATGAATAGTATCTAAAATTATGTTGATGCTTCTTTTAGACAAATTGTTAATCCTAAAGTTTTAAGCCAAATGTTGCTAGGTTTAAATCTTTTGTTCAATATATAGTAGCAATTAGGACGCGAACCTAGACAGTTCATTCTTTATTGAATCATCTATACTTGCCAAAAATCATAGTCAAACTCTTATTTTAGTTGTTTTATCATTTTTCGTTACTTAACAAACAAAATTAAAAGAAGATTATCTTAAGCATTATGATAGAAAAAACAGAAACCTACTATATATCGTTCATGATACTAGCAACAATCAAATACTTTTCAAATAAAGAACAATAAAGCATCATACGCATCAGTGCTACACACATTTTTACTAAGGATTTCTTCTTATCCGTGCACTCTGTCTATTTGCTTGTTGTGAATAGAGGGTTAAAAAAAAACTACGTACTTATAACGTAGTTGTGCAATACCCCGAGCACAGGAAGTTGTTGAGGAAATTGATTTATATGGCGTCATAGTTTACACCGATGCTTTTTCTGAGCAGAATAAGTCTTCTTCTCAGTTAACTGTATTTACCGATCTATTAAATTAAATTAAATTAAAAAAAAAAATATAATAATCTGAAGTTTATTACCTCTAGAATATTTTTCCAATCCAAGGGCAGCACAGATCTTTTTCTGCCATATTGAAAAGACATGCATTATTTAATAGTAGTTTTGATTAAATATAGTATTAAATAATGTACCTTTGGAAATTACTGAACTCCAGGGAGTATTTATTTTGGTGCGACCTAAACGCGACATAAAGAGACGATACAATTTTATGTGAAAGGTACTCGAATTTGTCTGTCGAGTCTGTTTATTGGATAATCATGCATTCAGCAAGGCATGTATAAAACTACAAACGAATGTATGTTTAATAATACCAAATAGTTCGAGTACTACATAACAAATCAAAAAATATCGAACAAAAACAGCTAACATAACTATCTGATGTCGATAATATAATTAGATAATATGATGTTAGAGTATAAAATATTAAATGTTCTCAAAAATTTAAAGAGCACTAACTTTTGTAATAGTTTTAAGCAATCTATATATATACAGGAAATATTTACAACTATCCTGTGGTTACAATCTGGCGCGTTCAGTTTTAGTATTACCATAAAAATAGAGAGAAAATGTTTAGCGAAATGTTTAACGAGGCACGGCCGAACAGATAAATTCAGTCTACTATGATGTTTTTAGAAATGTTCATCCACCTTCTGGTAATGGTAGTTCCAGCCGTCAAAAACTATTGTCGTTAAACACAGTCCTTTTCCGCAAGTAATTTAAATATTCTGTTCTGAATTTGGTATCCACATTACCACTTCAATATGTAAAATAACAAACACAGCATTTCATCAGCACTCTTTTTTCGAAAGTATTTAAAGTACCAATTTCAAGAGACTAATCGCTAGTTATTACAAGGTCCTATGGAATATTTCGTGTACTGCGTTGACATAATTGATTCGAATGAGCTTGCCTTTCAAACACTTAATTTTTTCAGGTTACGGTATTTATTTAATTATCTAATACGACTCGTTAGTAGACAGTAGTCCTTAAAATGATGCATTTTTATATCAGCCTGTGCTTGTAGACAAAGATTGTCATGTCAATTAGAAATATGTTTATATTTTTGAGACGAGGTATTTGCAGCGATTTAGGGGAGTCATAAATACGCGAGAGATGCAAAAATTCTCCTGTTCGATAACTCAACCAGAGTTTATCATGAAAACTAAAATTCTGGCACACGACCCTATTTACTTTAGCTACAAGACAACCATTACTAACCAGTGGAACTGTCACTTTTGGCGAGAAGATTGTATAGTCAAGTAGCCTTTTTGTTCTCCGCTCAATTCATGTTCGAAAGCAGTCAAGAAGGTCCTGCCTGCTTATCGTTCTAAGGCTCCTTGTCGTTTTTGCACCAGTTGTACAAGACAGGGTTTTTAAAGTTCTATATAAAATTGTTTTTACGCACAGTACAAAGGCCCTGTAGGTTAATTCACAGGCAACAACTTTCCTTCTTCAAGCAATTGTCTAATAACGTTTATATTGTCTGCTGAGGTCATCGTACGAACTGACGTATAAATGCTATTTACACATATCATTTACAGGACCTACGAATGCGGTACATAGGTGATCCTAGAACTAAAATTCTACAAACTTGGCTGTGCAATCATCGCAAATCCATCCTGGCGGTGTGCCAAGCATTTCTGGACAGCATCGGTGATACTATCTGATTTAACAGTTGAATTTTTTGTCTTTTCTGATAAAATGAGTGCAATAAATGCTGCTAGATTTTCCGTAATTTCCGTGGTTACCCCCTTGTAACTTTGGATTTGAACTCCAGTGAGGTCGTTTTCGTTAGCTTCTGGTGTTCCGTATCGGCATTTAGCTCATATCCACAGCGGCAACGGAGCCAGATGTAGTGAATACAGCCCTTCCCCCGCGAATATTATTCCGGGCGACCAGCGGAAGAAGAATAATTAGAAGCGCAACCCCGCCAGAGAGTGCGTTAAGGATCCAACCCTGTTCAGGATAATCCCTATAATCTGCATTCTGGTTCTGTCCACTGAAATAATTCAGACATTATATGGAGTATTAGAAACGAATTTTTAAATTTCAATACTATAAACTCGGGTTATAATGCATCTCAGCTTGCGCTATGGTCAAATGATTGTAAAAGTTTAAAAGGACGAATACTTGAGCCTGGCTCGGGCGGCCTGCATAAAACCGGTAAGAGTGGTAGCTGATCCAAGTACGAAAATAATGAGCCCAAAAGTCGCGTGCACGGGAACAAGAGCGGCTCGGAAAGAAGCAGTAGCTCCGTCGCAGCAGAGGAGAATCAGGAACGAAACCAGTCCAACCAAGAGCTAAAATGATGTCATTCATCATTAAACAGGTTTCAACCCTGGGGCCAATATATCGATCGACTCATAATAAATGAAGGGGAACGTTTGAAAGGAGGCCACTATGCAGTAAGAAACTTCTTAGCATGCATTTCATTTTATACATATATTCTTACAGAAACTGATTTAGATAATGTAAAAACATAGGGGTAAGGAATAAGTATGTCATATTTAGATTTCTATACAGTTATTTGGCAAGGCTCTATTCGTTTCGCAGACATTATGCCGTTTTTCAGTCATGGCGAGAAAGAACCGGCCAGCCCCTTAGCGGCATACTCGTATCCGCGCAGCTACGAGGAAGCCTAAAGCATAAAAAGACCTGTTGGCATTGTAAATCGATGTGTAACTATTCCAGCTACCTGCATAATGAAAAGTCCGCAAGTGACAATGGCGAGCCACGAATGAAGTGAATAGAAGTGAGCACCCTTGTGAACCCTCTCGTTGGCCTCAAACGCTACATAAAATCCGATGGCGACGCAACTAGCAGCGCTAAGAAACAAGAACGCATGAGTCAACTTCGCGTAGATTCGGCGACAACAACCAAACAGTCGGTAAGTCAAGATTGCCTGTAAAAAAGACAACATTAATTTGTTACAGATTGAAGTTCCATCTACGGCATCCTTGAAAAGGAAAATAATTGTGGGTGCTATGTACGAACATAAATATGACTAATGTTAGCAGTATGATTACCTTTATTCTACTCGGACCTAGTGAAAAGATGCCGCTCTAAATAACACGGTCAAACTGGTTGTGCTAGCCCCAAAAATGTTCATTGTTAACTTATCAAATTCTGGTCTCTTAGTAGTCTAACAAGGATAATTCCGAAATTCTTGCATGCTTTGGTAGTAAAAACCATAAATTGCCGGACTACGTTACACGATTTCTACATGTGTTCTATCTGTAACTTATAAAGCAACAATTTCTAACCGATATTTTTTTCATTGAAGTTACCGTCCAACTTATTAGATGGAGTTAAATCGTCGAACAGATAATTTATGTCATAAGCTAGACGCGTCTTCTACTAATACTTAAAACAATATTAGAATGTGCGCTTCCATCGATTCCTATAGAGTTACAGCTGGTCAGTTGAGAAACAGAAGAGCATATATTTTTCTTCATCCATTGCGGTCTATAATATTTGAATCTTTTTCGCCGAAACGAATTTTGCGTTGGAATGATTTTCGAGTCATGTCATGCCGCTCTTTTGATAATATCCGCAGTAAGACAAAAAGTACAAAGTGAAATACATGTACATTGGCCATTGTGTGATCGTCGACTCAAGTTGTCGATTACCTTTACTTTACTTTTTCAAAAAACGGTTCTAATGAAAACAATGGCAAGACAATTTTTTAACCACTTTTTGGTTTTTGTTAACCAAGAATATGTTACCTGCAGCTCTTAAAAATTTACTTTTGATTAAAAATAAAAGGCAAAATCTTCTTTTCGATTAAAAAATAAGACATCCAGTGTTTTTGAAGAAATTAACGGAATGCTTTTAGCCGTCACTGCATAAAACTAACGTTTTAGAAGCGTCGCATTATATAAGGAGACATTTTTTGAATTTCAAACTCTCTCTGGTCTAGCGGATTTGATACATGTTAGCTGGCCTTTTACCTGATGCGAGAATGGAAGCATGCTAACAATAAGCCTCCTACAACAATTTCCTTTATCCGCTCTGGACAAACTTATTTTCTGTATATACGGGCCATTATGATTGTCCATTTAAAGAATGAATAGTACTTTTTTGATCTGAAAATTAAATTTCAGACATTAAATTCCAAATATATGTAATAATAATAATAAGAAATGTATATGAATCGGTAGCCAGCTGAGAATCGCGTCAGAAAAAGAGGAACAACTCGTTCACCTGATGCATGGCCTCTCTAGTCTTAGTCACGCTGTTGTCACGTATTATCTCTCTTTCTATAGCAACTGGGTGGCGTGTTAACATTTTCTAATATTCCCAGGATTCTTAATGTACGTGTTTTTGTTAATGGCTAATGGCGTGCGAATTTATCATCTGGTCGACAAATGTCTCGCAGAGATGCATATTTGTATTTAAAAAAAAAAAAAAAAAAAAGGAGTACTGAGAAAACATTCCAGTAATGTCGGCAGCTACGTCAAATCATTAAAGTTTACTTAACCTGTAATATATTATATTTCAGCTTTTTATTCCCTCTGCTTGAATTTTCATTAACTAGATTATCAGGCTGATCATTCAAGCCACGCGCTCTCCTATTTGCAAATGAAAATATTTGTTGTTTTACAAGTCGACTTCACATGTCAGTACACTTTAATGATAAAAGTTAAACTTATTATGTAGAGTTCATGTTTTTTTTCGTGACTTCGATGCACTCTGTCTGACTGCTACTTGTCGTCCAAAAAAAAAAATAAATAAATACGTAGCATACGTTTCGAATGCCTTGTTTTGGAACCGTTCATTCACCGCGGTAATGGGCCCTAATTAGATGTCATGTTTATTTAGTAATATGATTACCTAATATTATGGTGAGGATGTTTATTCAAAGGGACTTCAAGCTATATCTTCGTTTTCAGAGTAGCCTCAGTGCAACCTACATAGTGAACATGATACATTTCAAAAGAATTTTCTGTTTTTGTAATATTATAAGGGATACAGTGCTCGAAAGCAGAGTTGCTCACTTTGTTATGCTACTTGCTAACTGCGGTGTATTTATTTTTTGATATTCTCCTCTACACGATCCCTGTTTTCAATGTCAATTCAATTTGATGGAGAAAGAAAAACTTTAGTAGCAAACTAAATGCAGTTACCAGGGGAAGCCGTACTATACGATCGTGATTTTTTATCAACGACCAAGTGCAATACTAGCACGCCTATGTTGACACAAGGCAGAGAGTTGGACTGGACAGAACTGTTGAAACCAAAAAAGCCCTCTCATACTACAACAGACCTTACGCAATAAGCGAAAAAAATGAGCTATACGCGGATACAAAAATCACTCATAACGAATAGGAAACGAGTCCCATTCGAAAGAAACAGCTGCCTGTGTAGACCTATTTGCGTAACAACGTCTTGTCTGAGTATACAAATAATGTTGCTTCTCTCTTGCATATGGTCAGACATTTACATCAAGTTAGCTTACAAGTCGAACGCACTTCGAGCGACATCTAGTCATGTTGCTAATGTGTAACGGCTAAATGTAGCACTGCCCAAGTGTATGAACTTGCTTTTGTTCTAAAATCCAAACGTACGGCGAAATTAGTTTGATGGGAATTTTGACGACAGTTTGATTGATATATACTTAACGAAAAACGCAGAAATTCTCAATCTAATAAGAACGAACACAGGCAAAGAATTTATGCTACAGTCAAAGTTATGATTCACATTTAACGTTCGGTAGGCTTTATTATGAGGTAACTAGAAGTCGTTTTAATGTACTTAACTGCCAGGCGAATGGAACAATAAGTGGGAACGCAAAGGTCAGCCCGTATTACTGAACACTTTGAACATCGTATCCATGGCAGACTACCGATAGTTATCGATGTCGTAATGGGGTATATATACTCGTCCCGCTGTTTTCCACGTTACTTGAGTAGAACAGCTTGTTGTTTGGAGGAAATGCGCGAGCATCCTTCACCGATGTAATAACATATTACGCATGCGTGCTTACTCCGTTTAACAGTCATCTCCGAATGCTTTTTCTGCTAATTAGAAAGACTATAGTTCCCAACTCAGAACGAATTCAAATTATCGACCAACTCATTAGCAATTACAAAATACAAACTGATAAAAAGATACTGAGTTATAAAGAAAAAAAACCTAAAAGACAGTTCGCGCTATTCATAGCACATCAACCTCGAACGTTTGCATTTCAGTACTTTAGGAAATTTATAATATCCGCATGATGTGAAGCTACTGGACATTTCTCCAGTAGCCCTTAGCGGCGGTACGATCCTGCCCGTCTAGTTAGTTATAGCCCGCTTCGTATGAAACGTGACAACTAGATTTAAAGATTACGGCATTTTACAATGGTACCACATTTTGCTATACTTTTTTGTACTCAAGAAAAGCTTGTACTTTTTGAAATCGGAGACCATTTACTTGGACATTGCTACTCGGACTTTTAGCTGGTAAATTGTAACGAGGTAACGAAAATCAGAAAGATCGATTGGTCTACAAGTATAAGTTTCATTTCAAAAAGGACAGGTCGCGTTATAAAACCTTAGACTCAGTCAGAGTTCTACTGCTATAAATACCGTTAGCTGTCGGGTCAACAAAATCCAAAAAGAATATTTTGAGCTTTAAAATGAGTTTCGTGAATAAGCCCGTTTTGAAAAAAAATACCGACGAGTTGAGAGCTGTAATGCAAGCTAACCCACCTCAGGGTGCAGAATGTTAGCACTTGAACAAGTGTAGTATCTTGATCAAGTTAACAAAGTACAAAAAAAAGGTATGAAAAAATGGGTACCGCATGATCTGAACGAGGATGAAAAACCGAGACGTAGAAATGCTTGCTCCTGTTTGCTCTCTCGTTAGAACAGTGACTTACTTTTCCGTCGAACTGTGTCGTGTGGTCTTCACGACAACCCTCGACAGTTGTATTAGCGGGTGAACTCAACTTAATGTGCACTTGATGTCCTTCAATAATATTTAAAATTAGAATGATCTTTGTATGTAACCGATACGTGAAATCTGTTAAAGGATAAAATTACTATCCACAGAAAACCACTTATAAGAAAAAATCGAATTTACCGCACGCCTTTGTGAGATGAGTTCGGTTTAGGCTCACTTATAATAGGTAAAGTTTCGAGATCAGCTAGCAGTCAGGATCTTAGCTAATGGCTTACGGCTTTTCTGTGTCGGACCAACGTATGCTTGCGTCGATCTGCAGATAGGTGGGCCCGTAGCTGCCCTCGCACGAAAAGAACTACTCTACTTTGTAACTGTTCCAAGTGACCAACGATCCTTTTTTTTATTACTTTGCGTTTACATGTTAATGTATAGAAGGCAAAGCCCAAATGATCGATGACTGCTGTGCCAGTCATTGTCGCATGCCTATTGTTAATACGGTAAAAATGGCTAAAAACAAATTAGGTCTATGCGAACTCATAGGATATAAGTACAAATAGGTTTTCTTACCTGTCCATTGAGAAAAATCAAACCAACAATCATAAGAATAAAGTGAAGATTAAACTGCCGTTTAATGTCGTTGGTCCATGCCACTCCACCTTCATAATGGAACACCCAGAACAGTGTGACCGTCAAAACCCCTAACAGCACGATCTGTAAAATGTCGTAACTTTTATTAGTGACAACAGACAAACGTTATTCTCTATTTGGTTATTAGTGTACCCAATCCAAGATAATATTGATCTTGGAGACAAACAATAAAAATATCGGGAACCATTTCTGTCTTCATTCAAAGCTTGAGAAATAAAGAACGAGTATTATATATAGGTACAAACGTTCATTGTATTATTTGAAGCCTAAAAAGGTTCACTATACGGTATCTTGCACACTGTCAGAGAAACCACCGTCCGTCATTATAGAATATAAAGTCCTCGTTTGCTTTTTGAACAATGAAACGACTCTCAGATGCTTTCGATGACCTATTCGAGTAGTTTTTGAACGCTAAAGAAAGTAAAATCATATTGACCTCGAGCAGAAATCGATTGTGTCATTTGGCACTCGTTTGAACTAAATAGCCGTCGATTTCTCCCCATCTCGTGTTGTGAGTCCGTCATTGCGGGAGAGCCTTAGTAGGGCGTTTATGAGTAGGTGGTTTAAGGATATGATTCTGACACGACTGTCGTCGTGTAAAGGGCGCTTCAAGCTCTCCATTAAAAGTTCGACTTGTTTTCATCGTTGACTTTGTACGTCCTTCCAAAACGTTCCCATTTCAAGTTCAAGCAATAATACGCTAAGATTAGCCTTTCCGGTTGCTTTGGCTTTTGTTGTCTCAATTTTGACGTTTATACTAACAAGTACTCCACAGATTCGGAATATTTTCGAACGAAAATCTCTGTGTAACCTACTGATTTGCAACTTAACTTTGTTATCTACAAAAAAAGTTCACACAAGAAAGCTATTAATAAGGCATGTTACCTCGGTGAGAAGAACAAACAAGTTGAGGAAAGCTCTTGCGCAAGCGCCCATCGGCTTATCCAGCATTACCATGCGGCCCTCGCTCTCAACCACCGTCGATGACTTCCTGAAAAGTAAGATCATTATTATTAGCAGTTGTGGTAGTAAGGTCCCGTAAAAATGTAAACGCAAACAAGAACAAATACCAAGTAATGCACTTCATAGGCAAACAGCTCCACGGAAATGAATCGCCACGGAATCATTTAGTGAGTGGTATATAACATTTTGTTACATTATCATTAAACCGGGATCGGAACATAACGGGACAAAAATTAGAAAATTTCAAGTCAGCAGTAATGGGAAGCTGCGCTTTTCAGATGTAATTATCATCAACTGCTGTGCGTAGGATGAGTGTTTCGCATTCGAAACAAGCAGCTTTTCCGACCACTGTCGGAATCTAATCAAACTCAGTTCATATATTTCACAATAAGAAAATAACGAATAAGCGAACCAGATTTACCAGCCACTATACGTTTCTCACTTAAGACAATTATGCTTGAAGTATATGTTTCCTCGTTCAAAAAAAGGAAGGCGTGATAATGCTTTTCTCTACAGCTACAGATTCAGGGGTTTGGTTTAATCAAAGGTGCTTAGTAAGAACTCACACAGTAAATTTGAACTTTGGGCTATGTGGTCAAAAATAGTGATCCTATCTTAAGTAAACATTACTAAATACAACAGGAAACAAAGTCTACGCGCATAATAAGGTAATCTGCTTGACGAAACAAATCATACTGCCAGAGCTTAAAAACGCGTTCCATTATTTACAACGATCGTAATACCAATAATTCTAACTGCCATTCGTCAATACCCCGTTTTAATAGAAGCACGTTATTTGTACTCCGTAACGTTCAGATTTTCTCTTCAAGCCGGTCAAAATGGTTTGACCGTATGGTCCACTTCAGTTTCATCCAGTCATTCTATCGGACTCTGAACGCAACATGAGTTACACTAGTGGCGATTAGGACGTATAGCAGCGAAACACGGTCTACAAATATCGACATAAAGTATATGATGTTGAATACTGAAGTATTAGTATCTTCAGTAGCCGAACTGTGATCCCTTCTTGTCAGCACGAGTGAGAACTAATATCGCGGGTTTGCAGTACAAATGGCCGGAAAATCGCGGCTCATTCCAACTGAATGGCGCAGAAAGCCACCACCAGCAGCAGCAGCAACAACAACAACAACAACAACAACAACAGCAACAACAACAACAACAAGATCCTAGTTGCCTACTCGGCAGCTTCCGCTGCAGCTCATCTATAGCAGTGACATTGCCTATTCGGGCCGTTTTATTGGTCTGGCTTAAATTTAGCCCGTGGCCAAACCCTAACCAACTTCAGCAGGCTCTGCTAGCTTAAGCTATGGGTGAAGGTTGAGAACTGAAGTCTGTGTCTGTGACTGTATTAAGCGACATTCGGTGTCGTTTCTACTTCGATTTTGTCTTCTCCATCTTTTTTTCCAGCCTTTATTACATATTTGTAAATCAATCATATGTTTGGTACTGCCGGAACGTTAAAGAACTGTCTCTGCATGGACTTGTGCGCTTCATAGAAGGCATACGCTATAGAGAAGCAGTTGGTTTGATGTCTATTGACATCGACATAGTGACTGACTGACTGACTCCAGCAGTTTATGGTATGAAGACACACTTTGGGTTCATCTAGGACATTTTTGAACGCCTCAGCCGCTTTCCAGCTAGTAGACGTGTTACATTCATGTCTTCATATGTATATTCCATGCAATACATTTTCATAGACTGTCTTTGCACAGTCATAGGTTGACGTAACGTTTGTCGTACATAAACAATTGCCATAAATCACCACCCTGTCTACCTCGAAGATGAGTTCTTCGTCTGATACAGCTTTTGTTCGTAGACACTGACGTATCCTGGCTATTAACTAACACACGGACACCTGAGTTTACGATTGTAGCGGCGGACGCCACCGCTCTGAGTTCCAAGGTACCCGAACTTCAAGTTAATGGGTGGATGAATAAACAGAGCAAATTCGTGAATACAGTGCTAGCACACAGCATCGTTATTTATTATTTTATTCTATAAATTTGCTCTAGGAGGTTTGTTATGCATATAACGTACTATAAATAGAGGAACTACTGAAGCTACAAACGAAACTTCAATAAGTAATCAATAACCAAAGTTATTCTCGAAAAAGTTGATCATTTTGCAATAGCATATAAACATGGATACTGGTCCGCTTGTATTTTAGATACGATAGCGTAGCATCTACTGTTGAATAACTAAAAAAGAAAAACATACACGCGCACACACAGCAAAAGGCACATCGTTAAACAACTGTACCAGTTATTTGTTTATCTCAACATTTCAGACAAGGATGATGATTGTCCATACGGTTACCTTTTAGCGGTCGTATGAATGTCATCACATTTTGCACGAGGAGCATAAAATGTACGCCACACAAATATACACAATGAAATGGCGTCACCAGATGCATGTCCTGTATAGCCGATAACATTTGTTTGCTAAATTCTAACAGCATACAATACGCTGCTTTGTTTACTATATTTGTTATAATAAATCTAATTATTGCTCATTCATTATGTGTAATTAGTAACTACGAAACGCACGTGGCAGGAGCGCAAGTCAGTACCCTTAAACTATTGCATTGTGTGTCGTTGACTGGAACAGATCCCATTGACAGGCAAGCACTTCGCTTGTGACTACAAAATCTAACCATTTGTTATTATTCAAGTAGAATTTTACACGGCATTTTCATTTAGAAATGCTACTTTTGTCTCACAGAAATACCTGGAGCGTGCGAGATCTGTCGTATGAGCGCGTACAGCAGTTGGGTCCGCGAAGAGGTACCTGCCTGCACTTTCACACATCTGACTCGTCTATCTGCGTATTAGGGCGCTGTTTCGTAAGGTAAAATATTGTTATTCTGTTAAATTTTACGTAATCTTCGTACAAGACAGTGCATAACTGGCGTCACAAGCTGACAATCGCTTTAATCATTTATCTCAGCACTGTACATCGTCGATTGCCTACACTCAGAATCAGAGCGAAAAATATAAACGTATTTTGCAACGTGTATGACCCAAAAAGGGTTCCACTAAAAACGACGTGTTATACAGTCGAGCTAGGTCATCGTCACTTCCGGCTGGTAACGTGAGGTGAGCGTCTATTCAGGCGAACCACAATACCTCACTCCGGAGCCTTTACACAACAGGCTGGGCTGCTACTAAGGCTCAGTCCTCAGCGTCTATCAATAAGCAAATAGGTTCAACTCGGTAATACAGTTTCATAGTATCCAGCTATAGTATAAAACCAGGAGTGCGGTCGCTAGATACATTACTGGGGGTTTTCCTAGCGTCACAGCTGACGAGACAAGAACAAACTGCGTACCAATGCGAGTAAGGATTCAATACAGTGACTGGATTCCAGCTCTTTCGTTTTACGTACGCATGAACAATACAATTGAATTTTGCCAAACTCGATCGACTCCGCTGGACTCCAACAGACGTACCGTGCTGGGTACAGGCGTTGGCCTATGGTTTTGATTAATATACAGATATGGCTTGGCTTTGTCTTTCATCGAACCCTTGGTTTTTCTATTCTCTCCTTAGGCCGCTTACTCATGTTGTGACCCTCAGTATTCAATATCGTACACGGGAAACTACCCTGTGAGGTTCAGGCCATTTCTTTTAGCGGATATTATAGGTCTGGTCGATGGATTTACACGCGCTGGCGCTTTATCACATATTGAATTGCAGTGATCGTCGCCACCGCTACTACCATTTTGACTTTACTTATTATCTTTTGTGAGCTGTTCTCTCATATTAAAAACGTTGGATACACTTATAGATAACTATCAAGCCAAAGAACGATTGTTGAGGACAATTAAGAGCCATATAATAAGGGGCACTCGGTGATTAGCCTGATAGCATGTCTTAAATACCTATGTTAAGTACCATATTTTCCGCCAACGACGGTCTAAAAGTAATCATCACTTAAGGTAGTCATTGATTATTATTATTATTATTATAGGAAAGCAAACTGTGAAAACTTGGAACAACGAATATGGCATAGGAACAAAAGCTGTTCTTCGAGACTCTTCTCTTGTTATACCTTATATGAAATCCTTGGCAAACTATACTGCCTATTATAGGTCTAGGATAATATTTATCGAATTTAGAAGCCCCGGTGACACTTTGATGATCGTTTTTTTACTCAGTTCAGTCGCGAGAGGTTTGTTGAGAGTATATTCATTTCGGCCTGCCAGTTGATTAAGATCTTTAAGCTAAAATGGACTATGATAGCTATTAACCTATAGGATGATATTCATTTTGATAGGGAATAGATTAAGATGACCCTAGAGGTTAGAGTTTGCGGAACTCTCTATGAATTTATAAGCCTATGGATATATAATAGTGGTCAAAGGTTGTTCGATGAATCGATTAAATGAAGTCCTACTTTACAGATCGGTGAGGCTGTTGTAAAGGGTTGCGCCCACTTAATTCTACACGAACTCATAGCTTGAAGCAGATGTCTGATATCACTTTAGGAAAGTGGCATGCTTATGACTACGATTTCCGATGATTTACATTGAAGCACACGCCACAGGCACCATATTCATTATTACGGTCGTGCTTAGTTGGCCAAACTGAAGCATACGAGCATGCTGATATGTTCCATTCTTCTTTGTGGTAGGAGCAGATCCGCAAAACAATTATATTTCTTACTAGAACAATCGAGTTTCATAATGACCTCAAACAGTTCCGTTTAGAGTGCGGTGTTTAGGTTCATGCTAAAGAGCGCTGTTATCTAACTTTTGTCTGAGACGATGAAAAATTTTATTCCATAGAAAATATGCAGTTTCGTATTAACAAGAGTCGTTAGTTGAGAGAAGACGCGCCTCAAGGAAAGAATGGTCATCTCTTTTGTAAGTAACCGTATTTGCCCTTCATGTAGTAATTCGAGGTTATGTGAAAACAAAAACACTGGTCAACGTTAAGCCACCAAATGATAGTAACAGCTCATAATCTTAAGAGTGCCCGGCTTGGCTCTTGCAAAGGGAAAGCC